CAGCGGCGGCGAGGCAGTGCTGTACCGGCGGTCGCACGACACAGTGATGCGCACCGCCCTCGCGGCGCTGGAGTTCGACCCACACAACGCTGTCGCCCGCGCAACGCTTCGGGACGTGCTTGCACGCAAAGCTTTCGACAGCGGCACGGCGGATGCAGCAGGCGCGGTGACAGGAGAAGCCGCCGTGCAGTTGAGGCGCTACAACAAGACGGTGCGGCGCATGTGCGGGCAGCTCCTCACCGCACGTACGGAGCGGGAGCGGGAGATGGAGTCCCTGCTGAAGGCAATACCATCCGCGTCAGCCTCAACACCGGTCTCGGCGCAGTCGGCGTGGCAGGAGGGCGGGAATGTGAGCGGCGGNATACCATCCGCGTCAGCCTCAACACCGGTCTCGGCGCAGTCGGCGTGGCAGGAGGGCGGGAATGTGAGCGGCGGTGGTGGCGCGGCGGCGACGATTGCGACCGACGAGCAGCAGCGGCCAGTGTACGCGCTGGTGAACCTCACCGACACGGGGGCAGCAGGAGGAAGAGGAGGAGAAGCAGCAGCAGCTTCGACGGCGATGATGCACCCGCTCTGGGTTCGGCTCCCGCACGGTGTCGACGTTGACCGCACGCTTGAGCTTGTCGGTGGCTTGTTCGGTGTTGTGCAAGGCGCCGTTCCGCTCGTTGCGCCGGTGGAACGCGGCGATCTCGTCGTCTTCGAGCTGCGTCGCAACTTTTTCCGGTTCGACGTGACCCGTGTTGTGAGGCCGCGCGACGGCGTTGTGGTGGAGGTGCCGTGCGTGCTGCAGCATGGCCGTCGTGACGTGACAACGTGCGTGCTGCGCTGCGCCAGCGCCCCATCGCCGGTGTACGACTGCGAGGAGGACCGCGTCCCGCAAGACCCGCTGCAGTGGCTCGACACAACGTCCGCGGCGGCAGCAGTAACAAATGACGTGGTGGAGCAGATACTCGGCAGCCGGCTTTATCTTCAGCGGTGGCTGCACGTGGCGCAACTCGGCAGCCGCCCCGTTTGGTTCCGTGACGTGCCTGTTGACCCGCGCGGCGCAGCGGTGTGGCGCCTCCACGAGCCCAACAGCAACAGCGGCGCGGATGAGAGGCGCGTCATTCTCGCTGCCGCGGCATTTCCCTTCGCGTGTGGTCAGGCAGCAGAAGAGGCGGACGACCCGTTTGGCGCCTCGTCCGAGGCGGTATTCGCCCTGCAGCCGCAGGGGGCAAACTCTGCGGTTTCTACTGTTGGTTTAGGTGGCGTGAACGATGGTGTGTTGTTCCGCGTCGTGGGTGTGTTCCCGGAGTGGGGCTGGGACTGAGCGCCGCTGGCGGTGCGTTACCGTCGGTTGTTCTGTGTGCTTGTTTCACGCCTCTGTTGTGGTCACGTGTGTGTGTGTGTCTGTGTGTGT